GTTATTTTTCGACTCCTTTCCAAAAATTGCCTAGAAAGGAAATTTTTGAAAAAAAATGGATTTACGGGAAAGAGTCTTTTGATAAATTAATAATAATTTAAAGACTTTCGTAAAGTACTTAATCTATTTTTATATATACAATAAATATTCTAATCTAGATTTTAAAACCAATATTATAAGTGAATTGACTATTAACTATTAAGATTATTATTAATAATTTATTACTATTGATTAACCTAAAAATCAATAAATTATTGAGTTAGGAAAAAAGAGAAAAAATGATTAAAAAAAGGAAACAATTTAAAATTTATTAAAAAAGTCTAAAAATAAAAACAATTTTGCTCAAAAAAAATCTATTTAATTGGAATAGTTTTTTTTTTTTACTTGAATTTTAGAAGAAATTTCTTTTAATATTATTCGTGATATTAGATAAGTTAATCTAATTGATTCTTTGTTTAAATGTACACTAGATTGAAATATCTCAATAAAAATATTTAGACCTTAGCTTTTGTTTATTAAAACTTTGTTATAATCTAAAAAACTTAAATAAGAAATGAAATTTTATAATCTATATTAACTATTATTTGATTTTTTAGTATTATAAGGTAAACATTTTCATAATATTCTTTTTAATTATTAATAATATTATTAAAACATATGAATATAATCAATAAAAGTTTGTCTATATTTTAAAAATCAATGTATTTCATATAAATTAATTATCTTTAAAAAAGAATTATGCCATTTAAAATTTAAGATCAAAATAGAATAGGTAAATTTTCTCAAAAAACTATAAAAATAAATTATTAAAAAAGTCAAGCCAATAAAAAAAAGAAGAAAATAAGTTTTTTTATTACAAAAAATTTCTATAAATCTCTTAATTCAAAGATAAAAAAATTTTTCAAGTACTTTATAATTGATTCTTTTTCCTTTGAAAACTTTTTTACTATTAATATTAAAGATATCTCTTGACTTTTCGTGATTATTAAAAGTTAAGTTTTTAAGAAAAAAAATTTATAAATAAGAAAAAAAAGTAAAAATGACTCTTGAAGTTATACTTCAAGTTGTTTTAATAAAAGTGTTAAACCTTGTTAATAAAAAAATATAAAAACTTTTTATGATTAGAGAATTAATTAAAAGTTTTTAATTAGTTTAAATATTTTTTATTTATACAATTTATATATAGAATTATTTTAATTTTATAGTTACTAAAAAATCAAAAACTTTATTTTTTTAATTTATATTTGTTTTGAATTTTGTAAATTTAAGTTTTGATTAATTTATATATTATAATTATTATTTTATTGAATTTTTTTAATATTTAAAAAAGTATTGTTTTATATTAATTTAATTAAAAGTCAAAAAAATTGAAACTAAATTTTTTATAATTCAATTTTTTAGAATTTATTAAGTATCAATTTAGTTTGCTTTGTTTTATAGCATTTATTGCTATATTTTGCAATATCTTGTTTATAATAAAAGTGTAAAATTTTTAAGTTAATCTTTTTTTTAGAACTATTATGCTGTTACTTGTTTATTTTGTATTAGGAAATATTGACGCAAATGAAATCTATTAATAAATTAACTTATTAAACAATGCTTTAGAGAAATTCTATAGATTCACAATTCAGCAATCTTACAACTCTTTCGAGTATCCCAACAACACCTCAGGTTCAATCTTATCAAACCTGTCCACCTCAATATCTAAATAATCATAATTATTCGATGCGCAATAGGCAATTCCGACAGCGTGCAATTCGTCAAGATATGATTCCTCAAATTTCCACTCTCGTTGAAGTGTGTTGTTTATGTAAAGTGAGGTTTTTGTGTTGATAATCTAAAAGGAGATTAGTCAAAAACTTCATTAACTGAGAAAAAATGCGCACGTGAACGGAATTGAAACAAATGAAAAACCTCTGATCCATTGGATATTATATGTCTATTTTCCTCATCAGGCAAGTGGAATTCTATTGATTTCAAATTTAGGGCCAAACCAACTCCAACGGCCTTCACGTAGCTTTCTTTCAAACACCAATACCTATAAAACATATGTAATTGATAAAATTCTTCGTGCGGTGTGGCCATTGAAGACAATTCATGTTCCGAAAACTTTTAGTAAATCGTTATCAGTTTAGATGCGCTATTTGTTAGACAAACATCAAAGAGAAAAAAAAGTACCTGGTTTTCGAAAGTTCTGAACATTTGCTGAATGCTTTGATTTACAAATTTTTCGACTTTTACAACATCTACTCCAATTAGGCAGTTTTCACTCGCCACAAATACTACCCAATTTCCATGATGCGAAATGTTAAAATTTACTACTCGACTCCCATCGATAAGAGATTGTGGTTTTAACTTTATATGAATTTTGAAGCCATTTATGGTAAGAACGACACCATCGATGCGTGATATAAAGATTGTAGGACTCACCAATATAGGTTTATTTTCTTTGGTCCTGCCGAATCTAATTTCCCTCCAGTCATATCCATATTCTTTACAAAAAAAATGTCTCATCAACAATCTGCCAGCCAGAGATGATTTTGAATCATCGAAAGATTTGAATCTCTTGATTCGTTCACTTTCTTCCGGCTGTATACATAAGAGGATCTGATTATATTGCTGGTTTAATTTTCGTGTAACTAAGTCCATAAGATGAAATTTTTTAAACCGACTAAATAATACGATTTCATAATAATTGTACCTCATC